TCACAACAACCCCTTTGCTCCACGTAACGTTACCTGTTGTGGTTTGATGGATTAGCCCTGCTCCTCGGAGCAGATAGTTGCAACCCCGATCATGTAGCCTTGGCACGCTACGGTGCACTTTTCGTAAAAATCCCATGGTAGCCTCTCAAGGACAAGTGTGTTTCGCTGAGTGGATGGTGTTCAGCACCTAGGACAAAGGTCTTTGCCTGTGTATGGATGGTGTTCAGCACCAAGGACAGGTGTGTTTGTGAGTGGATGGTGTTCAGCACCAAGGACAAAAGTCTTTGCCTGTGTATGGATGGTGTTCAGCATGTGTGTGTGTGTGTGGCTGGTGTTCAGCACCAGGGACAGGTGTGCTTATGTGTGGATGGTGTTCAGCACCAGGGACAGGTGTGCTTATGTGTGGATGGTGTTCAGCACCAGGGACAGGTGTGTTTGCCTGTGTGTGGATGGCGTTTAGCACCAAGGACAGGTGTGCTTATGTGTGGATGATGTTCAGCACCAAGGACAGGTATGTTTACCTGTGGGTAGATAGTGTTCAGCACCAAGGACAGGTACGTTTGCCTGTGTATGGATGTTGTTCAGCAATAAGGACAGGTATGTTTGTGTGTGAATGGTGTTCAGCACCAATGACAGGCATAAACTTGCCTGTGTGTGGATGGTATTCGGCACCAAGGACAGACATGTTTAACTGTGGGTAGATAGTGTTCAGCACCAAGGACAGGTATGTTTGTGCGCGGATGGTGTTCAGCACCAAGGACAGGCATGTTTGCCTGTGTGTGGATGGTGTTCAGCACCAAGGACAGGTATGTTTGCCTGTGTGTGGATGGCGTTCAGCACCAAGGACAGGTGTGTTCACCTGTGTGTGGATGGTGTTCAGTACCAGGGACAGGCATGTTGCCTTTGTGTGTATAGTGTTCAGCACCAAGGACATGTTTGTTTTAATGAAATGGAAGGTGTTCAGCGCCAAGGACAGTTGTATTCGCCTGAGTGCTTTCGTTGAAACCCCGATCATGTACTCGGCACGCTACATTGCTCTTTCCACAGAAACCGATGGAAGCAATCATGTCTATTGAAGCGTACACGAAAGGACCTTTGTATTATCCATGAGGTACTCGAGGACTCAAGCATCAGTCCATGCCAGACGGTCAAATGGAAAGTAAAGATTTTTGACAACTGTGAAGTCGAGATAAACTCTCAAACCGCGGTTTTGACTCGACCGTGTCCTTAAAGGCCCTAACCGCACTTTATGACAGATATTAAGTTTCCAGACGTTTTGTGGGCGCGCGGAACGAATTACACAGAGATTGAACAAAGCAGGATGACAAATGCACCCGGAAACTTTCAAGAGGAGACGCCGTGTATGTGACCTGAGAGGTCGCCGGGTATCGCTTCCCCCGGGCGACTATTACGGTATTTGAAAAGTCTATAACCTTACTGCAAAACCATGCCCGAAGGCTAACTGCAGGCAAAACAAAACAAATCACTGGTATGCAACGTCTGTATACGCCAAAAAACAGTTACTCAAGCAACTGGATATGGTTTTGGAAACCGCCAGACTTTTCAGCTAGTATCCACTAGCTTTCGTCAGTGACTGAGAGACCAGAGGAGAAATGCAGGTTTATAAGCACAGCGTCTGACTTTTTCCAAAATCATATCCAGTTGCTTGAGTAACTGCTTTTTGGCGTATCTTATTACCTGGATGTCTAACCTTTATCTACGCGACGTGTATATACGTATACAGTCGCATGCAAAATTATTTAACCCCTCTTGTATTTTGGGGAATTTTGCCAAAATAAGGAAAATTACAACTGTAGAACATGCCTAACTCATGTAAGTGATTAACATATACATGTACTTAACAGAGAAGAGAAACGAATTAAATATAAGAGGGGAATGACAATTAGTCATGTTTACCGAAGAAAAACATATTGTTTTTGCTACCTTTCCTCTTCTTCTCCAAACATTGACCCCTGACCTGACTGAACCAAACTGTCTCCCACCATGGTAACTGTTGCATAATGTTGCAATTTTATAGTAGGAGGGATTTAGACTCCTGTCAGCATATATGTGATTGTGTTTGAGTAAGAATTAACAGACCAGACCATATGCGAAGGTAAACATTATTCATTTGCTTTGCAAATGTTACTTCTCTAGTTTAAATCTATTTCTGCTTAAGCTATTTGTTATATGATGGGTTTGACTTCTTTTCTCCGCGCAGTGGAAAATGAAAATTATGCCCTTATCCTCAGGCTACTGTAGCGTACACTGTCGTCTTTATGACAAATATTAGGTTTCCAGACGTTTGCGGGGGCAGAACGAATTGCAGAGTTTGAACAAAACAGAATGAAAAATGCACGACAAAACTTACAGCGATAGACGACGTGTATGTGACCTAAAAGGTCGTGTATCTCCCCCGAGCGGATTCTTTGCTTCTACGGACCTTAATAAGCAACGTTACGTTATTGAAGTGCTGAGATATAACCGGCGACGGGTGGAACTGCACACAAGTCTTAAATTGCAGCAGCTGCTAATGGGACGTTTTATAAGGGAGACCAGCATAAATCGTAGTTCAGGCGCTTTCGGGGGACATCTAGGGATCTCTGATCCTGTCGGAAACCTGTAGAAGGAGTGTATATCTTACAATGGAGGATGCCAGAGGAATACATAATGTTGCAATTTTATTGTAGGAGGGATTTAGACTCCGTTCACCATCACCATATATGTGATTGTGTTTGAGTAAGAATTAACAGAGCAGACCATATGCGAAGGTGAACATTTGCATTTGCTGAAACTGTACACAAGTCTTAAATTACAGCAGCTGCTAATGGGACGTTTTATAAGGTAGACCAATATAAATCGTAGTTCAGGCGCTTTTGGGGGACATCTAGGGATCGTCTGATCCTGTCGGAAACCTGTAGAAGGTGTGTATATCTTACAAATGAGGACGCCAGAGGAATACATAAAATACTTCCGATATAATTTCAAAACTAAATCTCCATGCACGCTTGAGCTGCAGCCCGTCTATATTACTCTCCAAGCAGAGGTTGTGGGGGAATGATCGTTAGCCGTTTTTTCTGGTCGCTACCCCCACCCGTCGGTCGCCTGCGACCTTCTCTGGCTAATGGATACTGTCTTGCCACCGAAAGGGATCTGCTTGGAGATTACGTCTATATATAGTGATACGAACATGGTTGTCTATACCCGTATGCTTCAATGACTTTGATACTGAGTGAAAAAAAAGTTCTATAAACAAAATCCGTAGAATATGTACATCTGTGCACATAGTCAAAAACAAGACGTATTGTTCAAATTGTGGCAAGCAATTAATCTACAGTGACTGTCTTATTAACGAAATTCCCACAGGAAGCCAATCAACCATATTTACAGAAACAGGTCATTTGGAATCAATTGATTGATTACTTGCATTTCCTTTGTGAGTCAACGACCTAGATACTACATTAGCTGCATTAGCCCTAATTATCACAACCTGGTTAATGAATCCTGTGTTCCAAAGCAAATTGGCATTACACAGAAAATGAGGGTTAAAATGTAAATGAAGTTGATATGAATGGATTATGAACAACTGTGCACCAGTAATGATGCATGAAGCAACGATAGTAACACATGCGGTCATTTGCCATGTGATTGAGAAGAAACTGTTTTTTTTTCTTTTCTAACCTTTATCACAAAACATGGCGACGGCACACTCAAGTTTTTTCAAATTATATGTATGCCAACACCAACGCAGATAAACGCATTAAAGGACAGCAGATATACTCATTTTCATCTAGAGTAAAGTGAGGGAATTTATGTTAAGTGCCTTTCCCAAGGTCACACACAAGGTCGGTGGGATGGCAGGATTCGAACCCGTGACTTCTTGGTTCCGAGCCGAACGCTCTGTCTTTACGCCACACGACCCCACATGGGCTGTTTCAGGGGTAAACTCATGAACTCGAACTATTTTCACGCAAATTTCCAACTACGATAATATCGCATGCCCAACTACCATCCTGAGTGAGTCCAAGGCTTTAGGACAAAACAAGCCTTCAATCCTACCAATTACACTAACATCCCAACAGCACACGTTTTTGTGACCTCAATAATTGCAGCTGTTCTCTGTAGAACACTAGATAGAGAGATACAGCTGGCAACGTGATCAGGCACTACAAGATAACACCAACTGGCGCTCAAGATAACAGTAACTAGGGCAAAATGGACTAGAAAGAGAAATGCAAAATCAAAATTGGTCACCAGACGATGCTAAGTCCAGTACTCCAAACTTAACTCATTATCTGTAGTGCAGGACTCCCAGGCCAGGCCCAAGCAACTGGGAGACATCATAAAACATTGACAGGCAAGAGAATGCAATTGGCAGGTCAAATCCTACGCCTACAAAGTCAACAAAACTTGAAGACTGTCATGGCCAATGACCAATGCAATCAGGTGGCAGAAGGGGAGAGGGACAGGCAAAAAAAAACACATAGATAAGAACCTTCCAAGAGGATCTAAAAAAAGACCAACACATCATTGAAAGAGACTAAGGAGTCTCTATTGGCCGCCTGTATCCATTGGCTTCCTGTAATCTCGTGGGGCGTCCAGCGGCTACAGAAAGCCAATGGATACAGGCAGCTAATATACATGTAGACTACCATTGCCCCACAGAATCTTCTTGGAAATTAGCCCAATGTGGCCCTAGCCACAGGAGGACCCAAGCGTACATATGAAAAAAAAATCATAGACAACCACTTAAGGATTCCCGAGTTATCTGACGAACAACAAAAAACGCAAACACAAAAGGTCAGCTCCTGCCACGTAAGAACCCCCCACGAAGGCCATTTCTGGCCATCACAATGCCCATCACTAAGACAAACTGCCTGCCAAAAATCGTGAACCTCGGACCATGCCTTCAAACTTTATCGTGCATAATCTGCAAAACAGTGCAAAAACGATTTCATTGCCTTCTGTCGAAGGCAATAATAGATTGAACCAGATCTTACCTGGTCTCGTGCTTGATCGGCCAGGCCTGCACGCAGAATGTGCCGCCCTTCCAGATGTAGCTGGCGGCCTTGGAGTAGATGGCAGCGGGGATGGCGAGCAGCATGGAGACCAGCCACACGGCCGTGATGGCGAACCAGGTGGACCGGACACTCATCCGCGGCACGTGCGGCAGCATGATGCACACGTATCTGTGGAGGAAAACGGCATGGTCACATATCTGTGGTGAACATGCCATGGTCATGTATATGTGTGACAGCATGGACACCAGCCACACGGCTGTGATGGCGAACCATGTGGAGCGCACACTCATCCGCGGGACATGCGGCAGCATGATGCACACGTATCTGTGGAAGGAAACGGCATTGTCACATACATGATACATGGTCAAATATCTGTGTAGCAGCATGGTGCACACGTATCTGTGGGGAACACATATATGGTACATGGTCACATATCTGTCGGAAACAAGGCATGGTTACATATCTGTGCGGCTGCGTTATACACACGTATCTGTAGCAAACGGCATGGTTACATGTATGTGTGGCTACGTGATGCTCACATATCTGTGGGATGGTCACATATGTGGCAAACAGGGCATGGTTACATATCTGTGTGGCTGCGTGATGCTCGCATATCTGTAGGGGAAAACGGCATGGCCACATACATAGTCACATATCTGTTGCAAGCCGGGCATGGTTACATATCTGTGTGGCTGCGTGATGCAGACGTATCTGTGGGAGGCAGGACATCCCTAATGGAAGGTAGTTTCTCATTTTCACCTGAGTTTTGTGGTGAGGAAAGAGGTGTAAAGCGTCTTTCCCAATGGCACAATTCAGGCCTTCAAGGGATTGAAATCCAGAACCGTTAGAGTCTAAGTCAACAATTCTAACCACGAAACAACTTTGCCGCATCAATCATTCTGCACGGACGGCCTTCCCCTTCCGCTACTTGTCCACCTCCCGCTGCCAACATCAGCGAGGTTCCTCCAAATGCCGCCCACACATAAACTAGCTTACGTGCGGAAACGCAATATGTGTAATATACGGTGCTGACGTCTATTTGTGAAGTGTATCTGCGTCAACACCTTACGGAGAAGAAAGGCTCTAATTTTAGCTGTCGTTATGGAAACATGAAAACTTTATGTTTTCCGGACTTCTGTCTTGACAACAACTTTGGAATGATTTCAGCAATCTCCAAGCAGATCTTTTGGTGTCTGGAAGACAGTATCGCTAGCAGTTATCCAGCATGTTTGGCTGGCAAAAAAAGATACCAGTTCAAAAACATATGAAAACACGTAAACCAGGCTTCGGGAGGCGTCTGGAAAGAGTAGAAATCGGCCAAATAGAGAGATAACATGCCAGGGGACTTGGTGCAACAAAATGTACTCTCTAGCGGACCAACTCCCCCGGCATGCTATCTCTCTATTTGTCCGATTTCTATTCTTTCCAGCCGCCTCCCGGAGCCAGGTAGAGGCTATAAACCTCTGCATGAAGAGAAGGATTGCAGTCTTCCATATAACATATTCATCTGTACCTGTAGAGCCGGCATAACCGCCAGCTTCGCAGGCACGCGGCGCGGAGGCAGCTGGCTACATTACACCGAACGCCTTGTTACACCTAACACTTTCAAGAACATCTAACTCTAGACATATTTTAAAGCTATCTAATGACAATGCCCCTACTGTACGTGGTGACAGCGAGTTCCACTCTGCGATAGTTCTAGGAAAGAATGTGTCTTTGAACACCTCAAGCACACAATATTCAGATTATGAATACGGTACCCGGATGCCAAGACGTGTTTTAAGAAATGTATGCGGAAACTAAAATTGCATAACGTACAGAACGTTACATAACATTAAGCCATGCGCCACTTGTGAGCTTTTACAAGGAACCTAACGCGCTGGAACGCTTTTACTGCCTCATGTGCCGGAAGACATCGGAAGACCCTTGCGTAATTCCCTGGACAAATAAGCTTTTAAAAGGTAAATGGTAAAGAAGTAGAGGCATTTCCTGCATTTTACATCCATGATTTTGTGTCATCAAGTTGACATCAGGCATACAGGATTGTCAGAACGCGTCAGTTAAGCATGTAATTTACAAGAGAACATTTATTGCATTAGCACACTCTGCTTTTCTTGAGAGCTTTTAGTGTCCTCACCACTGCATGCCGTGTTAATTGATTTTCCCGCTATGACGCGCGCGCGTGCATTTGTGCGCCTCCTGCGTAATTATACGACCGTGTAAAGACGGCAAATTTCACACGAGTCGGCGCTTTTCACTTCAAACCCACCGGACCCATTTTACACTTGGGTGGAGTTTGGGGGAAAATCGTGCCTTTCCCAAGGACACGCGTTTAGCCAGATATATGGGATCGGGTGAATCTCCAACCCCCTTCTCTTACACCACTAGTGTGTTAAACTTAAAAGGTAGTCCCTTCGACTTGTTGCGACTGTAAGTTTTGAACCACTCACACCCGGAAGGACCTCTACTCTTTTCGATATTGAAAGTGTGGGGTGTTGTTTAACGTGCGCGGGGTGTGCCTCTCCCCAAACACGGGAACTCCATTTAACATCCCATCTGAGGGACGTACCTACATGTAACCGAAGCTAGGTACTCATTTTCACCTAAGTGAGGAAAGTCGTGTAAAATGCCTTTCCCAAGGGCACAAGATCGGTGGTATGACAGGATTCGAACTCGGGACCTCTTGGTAGCGGCAGAGTGCTCCGAGCCGAGCACTCTGCCGCTACGCCACACGACCCCACCTTTCTACTAATTCCAGTCTGTCGTGACACCAAACAACCCCTCGGCCACTCGACAACACTTGTGCTAAAAGAACAGAAAGCGACATCCACGCTCCGTGTCATGTATACGTGCACAAGCGGCCACGCGTGGGCGTGCTTCCCGCTCAGCCCCTTTCATCCCGACAACACTTCCACCAGGGCGGTCGTTAACTGAATAATGACTCTCTTTTGATCTCAAACTTTTCAAACGCTCACGGTGCGGAAGCACACGGCTGATTGATGTGGAAAAAAAACATGTTTTCTGAGTAACAACCCCCTTTGATCTTTTTTTTTATATATTCCAACATCTAATCACGAGACGTGGTGACGGCACACTCAAGTTTTTTTCAACTTATATTAATGCCGCCACCAACACAGGGGACAATACAATACTCATTTTCACCTGAGGAAAGTTGTGTAAAGTGCCTTTCCCATGGGCACAAGATCGGTGGCATGTCAGGACTCGAACCCGGAACCTCTTGGTTCCAAGTTGAGCACTCTGCCGCCACGCCACACGACCCCATCTCGATTATTGAGTACAAGGTAGACTCTAATTTTCAAACACTCACGGCGGCAATGTGGAAGGAAGTCATTGGCTCATGGAATAATCATGTTTTCTTACGCTGTTCAAGAGGTTGAATTCATTTTGGACCTTAAGTCGTGGGTACCCTTGGGGACCAGGGTTTTTGTATCCAGAACCGTGCCTATCTAGTCCTGTTCTATCAACATTCATACCGTTAATAGAAACCATCAAGGGCGTACAGGTTGCTAGAAATTCAAAGGTGCACTTTTGTTATTTAAGAGGTGCAGAAAGTGCTACTAGTGTCACAGTGGTAGCCTAGTATTACTACAACTACACTCAAGGCCAGCACACTAGTGCCACTTCTACAAGTACATACAAGGCTGCTACATCAGATATTCTCCCTTTTTTGTATTTTCTTGTAATGTGGATTCGTCGAATAGAACCATTTTTTTTATCAAGCGAAAACCAAAGCTCGCAGATGCAATCCTCAGAATCTACTCCCAGTGTAGCCTCCACAGCATGCCAAAAACTGTGGGTTTTGGGGATCTTCAGGGTCTTTGGGATCTTTTATGTGCTATTTTCTGATTGTATATAGACAGCATAGCCGGCCTTGTTGGATTACCCCCGTTTTTAGAATTGGACTAATCAGAGAACAGCCGAAGACCACCAAACCCCCAGTTCTATAAGCCTGCTACGGAGGCTATCCCAGTGCCCTCACGGCTTTGTGCAGCGTTCATTGAGGACTTTCTGGTCTGCCAGGCAATCCAAACTTAATCCAAAACACAAACTGCCAACCCTGCTCAATCTACGCTGAGATGGAAAGATGTTAACTGTGTCCGCTCCCTGTACCTGACCGATAACACACGTTCCACGCTGCTGAGATTACAAATACGGTAGATTACCAGCTTGGACGCACCGACAGCGTCTTAAATGCACTTTTTATAAGACTATTGAGATTTCAATATTTTCTGACAAATCAGGCGAAAGCCAAAGCTCGCGGATGCAATCCACAGAATCCACTCCTGATTCAAAAAACAAACTGCCAACTACACCCTGCTCAATCTACGTGACGCTAAGATAGAAAGCTGTTAAATGTGTCCGCTGCCATTGCCCAACTTATAACACACGTTCCACGTTAAGATTAGAAACACGGCAAATTACCACATTGGAAACACCGACAACAAATGCACTGTTATCAGACTATTAATATTCCACCACCTGCTGGCCTGAGGAACCGAGTTAAGAGGAGAAAATGCTTGCCAAAAGTTCAAACGTATTTCCAGAACCCAGAATAATCTGGCGACGATCTTACTGCAAGGGTGACCTCTTTTATCTACCCTCCAGGCCGGACTTTATGAATAAAAGAAATTTAAATCTTATTTTTGAGTTGCAGGTTTGTAGGCTGCCGGGCAATCCAAACCTGGTTCCAAGCACAAACTGCCGACAATGCCCCACTCAATCTACGCTGAGATAGAAAGATGTTAAATGTGTCCGCTGGACATTGCCACTGATAACACACGTTCCACGTTACGATTAGAAACACGGCAAATGACCACCCTGGAAGCGCCGACAACGTGCACTTTTTATAAGACTATTAATATTCCACCACCTGCTAGCCTGAGGAACCGAGTTAAGAGGAGAAAATGCTTGCCAAAAGTTCAAACGTATTTCCAGAACCCAGAATAATCTGGCGACGATCTTACTGCAAGGGTGGCCTCTTTTATCTGCCCTCCAGGCTGGTCTTTATGAATAAAAGAAATTTAAATCTTATCTTTGAGTTGCAGGTTTGCAGAGATGGGAGGTCGCCAGCTCATCTACACACCTTTTTAAGGGTCAGAAAATACCACTTGACCTATCCCCGTGTGGGTGGTTCAAAACGTGCTATT